AATTACAAGTGCTCGTACGCGCGCAGCGATATACGACGCTCCATGAAGCGATAACGGGCGCGAGCGCCGAAGAAAAGCTCAGACCGGGAACCGCGAGAACGAGTAGTTTTGTTAATAAAAATAAAACCGAATCAAGTTACCCGCGAAATAGTCGAAATCCGACACCGCAATGCTTTAAATGCGGAAAAAACGGACATTACGGACGCGATTGTCGAAGTAGCCGATATGCGCTCCCGAAACCGGAAAAACCCTCGCGAATAAACGCAATAAGTAAATACTGCTCGCATTGCAAAAGAACAGGACACAGCCGCGACGAATGCTGGAGCCTAAACGGAAAACCGAAACATAGTACAGATAAACAAAAAATCGGAAATCAGCAAAAAACGCGCGAAGAAAATATACGCGACCGAAAGAAATCGCGACAACAGAAAAGGAACGCCGATAGCGCAAGTAGCAGCAGCGAAGACGAGCAGGAGGAAGCGAGAAAGAGACAACCGCGACCTGCATCTGAGTATCGCGTTACACATATTAAAGATATGCCACGCGCACAGAAAAAAAAACGGATTTATTGTTAATAACATTACCAATGCGACAAGCAAAAGACGGAAAAATACAGATGTTGTACGATTCAGGGTCGACCATCTCATTAATAAAATTGAAACATTTAAAGGATGACACACTAATACATGAAGGTAAAATCGCGCTTACAGGCATAACCGGGCATAAAGTACACACCATAGGAAAAATGTACGCCACGATCAAGATAGAAAATCAAAAGGTAAAACATGCATTTTACGTTGTAAGAAACGACATTCCAATAGAATATGAAGGAATAATAGGAATTGATTTCCTTCGACAACATTCGGTATCCTGTGATTATAATCAAAATCAGTTAAAAATAGGAGAAGCCGTGCTAAGATTCCATACGTTTAACAAAACAATCCTAAAACCGCGCAGCGAAACCATCGTAAAAGCGATAACGAAGCAAAATCGGATAGGAATAGTACGAGCAGAGGAAACAGCTCCAGGAATCTACCTTGGAAACTGCTTAGTAGAACCGAAGGATTACACGTGTCCCGTTAGTATCATAAATACAACCGATACGGAAGTCGAGATACAGACGCCGAACGTCACACTCGAAGACATAGAACGCGAAATCGAATCCAAAATACACACGATACAAGCAAGAAAAAATTTTAAGCCTACTAGCTCGAGACAAATCTGACAACTACTACGCACGCAACATTTAAATACGGAAGAAAAACAGGCACTCCTACGGATATGCGAAGAATATTGCGATACATTTCAGTTGGACGGAGAACCACTGACGTGCACCGCGACGGTAGAGCACGAGATAAACACGCGCGC